ATTTGGAAAAAATGGCACACTGTGGCCTCACCACTTCCACAGAGATTTTGGAGTCTACTAGGAGGTGTGGTATGCTCATCTCTCAACTCAGCATTTCCACCACTACTGCCCTGGTCCAAGCCACCAACACACCCCTCACATCCAGGCTACTGCAATAGCCTTTCCACTGTTTATGCTCTTTTCCCTTCAGTCCTGATATATTACTCCCCGCTCAAAACCTCCAACGGCACCCTAACACATGTGAAATGAAATCTAGACTCCTTACCATGGCCTACATGGTCCTACATGCGCTGGCCTTTGCTTTCTCCAACCTTTCAAACTCTCCCCTCAAGCACTTCACCCTAGATACACCAGGTATTCTTGCCATGTCTTGAACATGACAAGCTTCTTGCATTTGCCATTCTCTGTATGTTCCTCCAGAATTTACAGTCTATTCCTTCTTCATTCAAGCTTCTGCTCAAATGTCACTTTCTCCAAGAGGCTTTCCCAGGCATCCTGTGTAAATTAGCTGTACCCTTTATGGAAAAAATAATTAAGAATCGAGGGAATGGCAGTCACAAGACTGAGAAATGAGTACACGCTGTAAAGACAAGCAATGTTTTGAGTGAGCAAGACTATACTGTTGATAACTGAAAAATGTCCCCTTCATAACAGCCAAAGTTTTAAAACTCCAAGAGGACAGATTTTGACATTCTCATTTCCACAGAATGCTCCCACAAGGCCACACTATTTACTACTATTTTCCAGAATATAAAGCAGAGTGAGGAAGGTGTGTTAACTGGTCAGAATAAAATAACAACTCAAACCAAAATTTTGGGTGGGACTATGACTCTAGAGATCACTTGGAAGTTTCTACTGGATGACTCAATAAACTCCGACCAGACCCAATCCTCCTACAGATAGTAACTACAAACTCTGGACAAAAATACCAAGAAAATAAATTATCTAAGGCACTAGACAGTGAACAGCAACGGCAAATTACAAAGGAGAGCTGCAATTTAGGAAGGAATTACCAACATGGGGAGAATCAGAATTCTCTTACCCAGAGAGTGGGCCAGAGTTGGTACCACTCAGGACAGCTTCAACTCACATACAACACCAAGTCTTTCTGGCCTGAAGAATAAGAGGGAAGAATTTGGGGCAACCACAGACCCTGGAAAGAAAGTAGATTCCAGAAAGGAGAGAGTCAGGTAGGGGGAGCTCCAAGTCCTATGTATAAACTGCCCAATCTCTGGCCCACCCCTAAACCATACATGCATGGTGCTGTTTGTAAGCAGACCAGCTAAATGAATTGCCTGGTAAAACTAAAATACTTTTCAGAAAATAAAACAAAATTCACAGTCTTCACAACACAATATTCACAAGGTTTAATACAAAGTTGTCTGGTATACAAAGAGCCAGAAAAACATAACCCAGAAAAAAGAAAAAAGAAAATCAATTAAAATAAATCCCCAAATGACCCATATATTGGAATTAGCTGTTAAAAGAGACAAAGATGTTAAAGTAGCTATCATAACTATTTTAATGAAGTAAAGTATACTCAGAATGGAAAAAAAGACAAGAAATCTAAGCAGAGAAACAAACTTATTTAAAATAATATGGAAATTCAGGAACTGGAAAATACAATATCAGCACTAGCTTACCCATAGAATAGACACAAAAGTCAGTGACCTTGATGATAGATCAACAGAAATTATCAAAACTGGAGAAAAAAAGATTTTTAAAAAATGAACAAAGCCACTGAGAACTGCGGGACAACATCAAAATGTCTAATACACGTGTAATGGAATCCCCAAAGGAGAGGAGAAAGAGAATGGGGCAGAAAAATACATCTAATTAATGAATTTCCTAAAATATGATAAAAAACAAATTGACAGATTCAAGAAGCTTAGTCAACATCAACCAAAATACAAATGAAAGAGAACCATGCCAAGGCACTGCTGAAAACCAAACAGAAGGGAAAAAATTTGAAAGCAGAGAACAACACATGACAGAAACAAAAATTCGAAAACCCTTGACTTATCATCAGAAACAATGGAGGCCTAGAAACAGTGGAACATCTTCGAGATGCATGAAAATGATGGTCCCCAAGCTATTAAGGGAGTTTTTCAAGAATAGCCTTTAAATCCCTTGGCACAATAGTACTCTCTATTTGACTGACTTCCATTAGATATTCTTTGTTGTTACACTCCAGGAGCTATGAAAACTGATTCAACTGTTCACAAAACAGGCACGAGACAGAAAGCAGTCACCACCCACCATTGCCACCTCTTTTCAGAAAGCCCACACCATTCAGATGAAACATCTACTTCAATTGGTAGCATTACCTCCATCTCTCTCAGTGGAATCCTATCACCTTGGCCAGGCCCTATCCCATTTGAACTGAAATTCTCTTTATGAAAGGCATTTGGGGCAGGAGTGTCCAGGAATGGTGGCAGTAAAGATCACATTCATTCCAAGCCAGATCCGGTGTAGTTTCTCCTCTGTTATGTAAATAATAGTAATGAGGGATTTTAATATATAAATCCCAGTAGGTACCCCTAAGACAATCTTCCTCCACTCAAACAACTAGGGCTCAACAGATTTCATAGTCCACAAAAAGCCAGCATTGATTCCTATTGCTTAGATGGGAATCTGAGCATGAGAAGCACAATTGCCCAGCATTTTCTAAAATAGCATGTGGATTATTGGGTTGCTTCACTCAGCCAATATGCTCATTTCAAATCATTTTCCCTGAAGGACTGAAATCTGAGAGATTGCCTAGGAATCACCCTGCTGCTAATTTTATAAAGACCTGTTAACTATAATGTAATGGATAGGGTACATCTGCATCCTAGGTGGAAAAACTACTCCGAGATGTCTCTTAATGGCACCAATTTTCCACAGGAGAGAGAGCTGCCAGTCTCTCTGAGCCCTGATATCTAGGTAGTGTTGGCTCCATGCCCAAGAGGTCAGCAATTCAACTGCCGCTCCCAAAAACTCTACCTCTTTTAAATAGAAAGCATAATCAAAATATTTAGAGGATGAAGTGAAATTCTCTAGTTTGAAACTGTTTCCTCTTTTTCAAAGAACTAGAAAAAACTTGTATCGCTAATATGAGCAAGCTATTCAGAATGGCCCCACATTTGGAAAGTTTCTGGCATTTTCCCACTAGGCAGTGTATCATTGCAATGAGCTGCCCAGTAATCAAAGAGAACTACTTATTTCCCACCGGAGTTAAAAGAAGGGATTAGTTCTGGTAAGTTCTCTGACAAATTTTGGTCATTGTTAACTGGGGTGGCATCAGGCTTCTCTACATCCTTATCACATTCAGAAAAAACTCAGGAAAAATGGAAAACAAAGGCTCCTTTATTATTCTATTTGAGCAGCATCTACCTTCCACGGAACATTTTTTTTTTTATTTCAGTGACATTCAAAATGGGGAGTAAAATTTGCTTGAGAAGAGGTCTATTAAAAAACTCCCCATTTACAAGACTTTTCTTGATATACAAGATAAATTCTGGGATCTAAAGATTTTAGAACCCTATGCAGTCTTTGAATAGACTCAGATTATAAATTTAATTAAATGAAATCCAAGAAAAGATTAGCAGTAGTAAGCAAGTAGCAGTAAGAATTTAAAACAAAGGTTTGTATAGGAGAAAGTAGGCAGTAACAGCTATGACACAAAGGAAAATCATGGAGAGGACACAAGTAGCCTTATCAGGGAAGTGAGTTAAAGCTGTCCATAACATAGGCAGAATATCCATACTGCCTTCTATTTCCTTTGACAATGAAGGATAAGTAGAAATCAAATAATTATTGGACACCTTTTTAAGATTCCCTACTTGTATTATCTCCGATTCCTCTCTGATCTTGAATTCAAAGAAGTTAATTAACTTATCGAAGATCAAAAAATGACTAATCCCAGGTCTATAAATCACTCCAAACCTCATACTTTTCTATTATAACAACCTCCTGCTTGAAAAATATTTCACATGAATTAGTTCCTCAATAAAATAAAATTTTTAAAAACTGAGCTAATCCAAACATTCCCTTTCCGGACAAATTCTTCCTAAAAACGACACTAATTTTCTTAGGTAAGCTTCTAGCAAGGCCCATCAGTCCATCTCCCCTTCTCTGCTACCTGTTTCTGGAAAGTACCTATTCTGCAGCTGGCAGTTTCTTAAGACCTTCCCTAAGGTCTCGCAGTTAAATGAAATGGGTAATCTTCTAGATTGTCCAATTTACATAGGAAGGTGGATAAAGTACTCAGAACCAAGCTCTACCTTTGTATTTGGCTATATTTTTCCAGTAAAATACAGCATCCTAACCATGACAGATGGGAGTAAAGAATGAGAAAGAACCTGCAAAACACTTCAGAAAAGGTTCAAGATCTCCGACTCCCAAATATAAACCCCGACTCCAGTCTTCCAAAAGACTTCTATAATATCCTGGTAAATGACACAGGTCTTCTTCCTAAATCCTTTGAAGGTGATTAAAACTGCAGCTTCTAGAGTCAGATATACTAAAGTTCAGCTCCTCCATTACTAATCAAGACCTCAGTCAAAATAATTAACCTAAGCCTGTTTCCATAGATATAAAATGAAGAAATCACGATAATAAGTCTTATAAATGCTATATTACAGTGCCTAGATCAAAAGTGCTTCTTAAATGTTAGCTTTTCATCATCATTCGCATTATCAACATCTTCGTTATGGAGTAACTGAAGGGATTTCATAAACCTTTATGGGACTAGCACCAATTTCCATTTTGGAGAGTCTTAGTAGATTTAGGAAATGAGTAGCAAAGATGAAACTGGCAAGGTCTAAAAGTGCTAAAAAAGCAGCAAGCAGAAATTTCAGGGGGAAAATATCTATACAGGTTAAAACAAGTATATGTGAATATATACAGAGAGAGAGGGAGGAGAAAGAGGGGTATATATCTATACAGGCTTACAGCAAAGGGATTAAGAGTGAAATATTATCTCATGCAGTAAAACAAACTGCTCATTTTTCTATTACCATGATGGGGACGCCAATGTCAGGCCACAGAAGGTCCTCTGATGGCAGCTTGGGAGAATTCCACACCACCACTACCTTGTTCAGGTAAGGGAGGCCATTCAACCTCTCTAAAGAGTTCATAAGCACTTCCTCCCGCTCGTAAGTCAACATCACTACGGTGAACTGCTCTCGTGGAACATTGCCTCCAAGCGCTGCCTGAAACTCCTTGCCAGAACCCCCAGCTCCACCACCAATTGGCCGAAATCCAGTCCCTGAGCCCAAGAATTTGGCCTCGGAGGGCAACACAGGGTCAAAGGGTGTGTGGGGGAAAAGATGGAAAGGCCCTGGAGCAGAATTCCAGCTGCGGTAAAAGTCAGTGACAGTCAGAGTGAAGTTGCGGAGGTATCTGGGTGAGGCATAAGGCGGCTCAGTTTCTACTGGCCCCAGGTCCAGGTCCCCATTGTCCGCCATGTTGGGGTCCGTTCCAGCCGCTTTGCCTGAACGATGGGGGATCTCAGCTGCTGCCTCTTCCCGGATGGGAGCGGCTGGGATCTGTATGCGAGTCCTAATCATAGCCAGTACAGTATTGAAAATACTGTCGGCGGTGGAGAAGTAAGTCTCCCAGAGGAAGCGGCCTTGCCGCCTCATAGTCAGTAGATCGCTATCTGAGAGACTTCTTAACAGGAAGTGAACCTCCGTAACACGTGGCTTGGGCACCACCAGGGCTGCCTCATTCCACTGCAGCATGTCCTGGTAAGGAAGCTGTACCTGCTCCCCCAGCACAACTGGGACAGCACCGACTTCCAGGGCTTCGAAGAGCCGTGTCGCACACCCAGATGAAATAACCAAGTGCGGGTCTCCGGGAGTGATAATGAGGGCAAAGGTGGAAAGCTTCAGTAATTCTAAGCGGTCCTCCCGCTCCCCGCACAGTGCCCACTCCGTAGGCAGACTGGGTTTAGGCTGGATTTTGCAGGTAAATTCTACGAGGACCTGATCTAGTTTGCTGTCCTGCACAGCCTTTAGGGTGGCAATGATACGATCATCATAGTCAGCTGGGGGGTCACCCTCCATTTCCTCTTCAAAGGAGCGGGCCTCCTGAAGGCTGGATCTCAGTGATTCAATCTTCTCGCCCTGGAAGGTGAAGAGATATTTCCGCTTAACCGGCACCTGTGGTGGGATTTCCATGAAGTTGGGCTCTGACATGGCATGGACTAGTGGTGATACTACCAAGTCAAAGCCAGGCCTGTACTGGGCAGCAAAGAAAGTTGACTGGGCCACCATGGCACGGCCTGTACTGACATTATACAGTAAATTCTGTGTATCTGACTTCCGTGACAGATTGATGATGACATGGTTGTGTCCATCTGTCCGCCAATGTGGTAAAGAATACAACTGCTTCTCAAGTCCAGCAGGCCGCAGTGCTACCGGCTCCTGCATTTCTCCCACTAATATTACATAGAGACAGGCAATGTCTGCATTTTCTGTAACATAAACATTGGCTCGTGCTGTAGCCTGAAAAGCTTGTTTGACCAAGGGATCCAGGTAGCTGCCAAAAGCCAACTGGTCACTGTCATAAACATAGACTGGAAAACCAGAGGTGAGAGGACAACGAGAATAATCAAAACAATTGTGCAGCCGGCAACTCCGTGTGACCTTTGGAGGAGGAAGGCCAGCATCGTCCTTCTCTGGGAGCAATCGGATGGGCAGAGAAAGCTTGGGCTGATTTTGGGCCATTAGCTCTTTGTAAGAGTGCTCAGTCTGGCTGATGACATTCTTAAGCTGAAGCAGGTCCTGCTTGGCATTCTCAATACTCTTCTTACATGCTTCAATCTTCAGATTCAGCTTGGCTATTTCGCTGTTCAGCTCTTGCCTCTTGGCTTCCAGCTGCAGGAGCTCTTCACTTACAGACTCACGAATTCGGCAAAGATCTAGCACATGCTTTACTTCACACAGCTCATTACCAGCCCGTGGGCCAAAAATCCGCTTGCCAGCTTCATCAGCCTCATCCAGAGTGGTAAGATAATAGTGAGCAATGAGGGGAAAGAAAACCAGAATGATGAAGAGCGTAAAACTGAGCCACGTGAGTCGGATACGGTTGGACCACCGTAACATACAGGTTTGACCTCCATTCCCCACTCCCCCATTCCGCAACATGGTATAGCCCGTCATGAGTTCCTTTGTGGCTCTTGCCCGCTCTGATCACGTTGGGTCACTCGCCATAACCATGGGTTTCTATTAGTCAAAACTCAATCTCTTTTCACTTGCACGTTTTCATAAGAGTTAGTATGTTCTCTGTACAAGGCACCAAATAAAACGGAAATTTCATTTTCCTCAGCTGTAACTGAAATGGTCTCTGACTCTATTCCAGCAGATATTAAGTTCTGCTTGTTGACCAAAGGACCTGTCCTTAATCTTTATCAAATGGTAAAAGGTACCACATTGTCGATGAGATGAAAAGAAGGAGGTCCCTGATGATGAAACCCAGGAAAAATAACCTGGAATCAGACAGACTTTTTCAACTGCCATAGCTCTTGTTCCTTGGTTTGGCTGACCAACAAATATGCATAGTTACTATTCGCAATTATAAAGTAGCTGGTTAGGACAGAAATAAATGCCAGCCTGTGATCGATGTCATTGCCAATAACCAAGCCTGCAAAAGAGAGAGAACCATGTCAGTCTGGAAGAGATTATGTTCAACAACCCTGCCCTCCCCCAGTTCATTTCTAGAAAATGCTTAAATCTTTTAAGATGAAACAATGGTTGGAACATTGGCATGTGTCTCACTGAACATTTTAAGTCCAACATAGTTTTTGTTTGGTATGGATATTTTACTTGTGGTTACTAAGAAATGAATAAGGTAAGTGTCCAAAACCAGCCTCGGTTTTTTTTTACACACACACTCCTTTCTTCTTATTTAACTGGATATAGAGCAGCATTAGAGCCCTATAAATGATGTTCAACTACATTCAACAGAGGGCAAAGATGTTTGCAACAATTTGTTATTCTAGACTTAGGCATCATCTTTACCTGAGGAGAAACATCTTCCCATCCAGCCTTGGTAGCTATGTTCGTTCCTAACATGAAAGTCTCCTTTTGAACTACTTAAAAAAAAGAGAGAGAGAGACACTGTAAGCAGCTCAATTTATAATATTCAGGGTTGAAAGGAGTCGCACAAAACTCTTTTGAGCTTGACGCTGTAATAGATGCAATAATCCAGAGTCAAAATGTATTTCCCAGTTTGCTTCTCCTTTATCTTGTTAGACATCATGTATTCCTTCTTAAAATATAAATAGTAACTTGGTCTTTTAGAAAGAACCCTATATTTAGAAATAAGGGGCATTTTTCCTATCCTTTGGAGACAGACTTGCTATCAGACCTTATGCCTCAGTTTCCTAATCTCCTAAAATGGAGATATATCTATGGTGATAGCAATAATCTATTCTGTTGTTACGACAATAAAGAACAGGGGATGCAAGGGTACTTGAGGCTAATACATCCTGAAACAACAGTCCCAGTCCTGTTCTCTTACCAGACTTTACTATCACAGGCTACAGAAGTTTTTCACTTGCTTTCACCTCAAACTGAACATACCTAGAATTGAATTCATAATACTCTGTGCCAAAGAATACTGCCAATTTCTTTCATTCATTTCCTCCAAAGTATTTACCTTAGCAAGTCTAAGACATGCTAAGTATAACTGCAGGAGAATCCAGAATATAAAATACTCCTTGATCTCATGGCATTTCCTTTAGCCTAAGAGATAAGATACAAATGAACAGCAAGGGTACTTCTACAGGCAGTATAAAATAAGTAGTACTTCAGAGATAATCAGTCTCTAGCTTCCACCTTTGTTAAAGATGTGTAACTACTAAAGTTTTGACAGTTTTCTCTCCCTTTAAATAAAAATTAAAAGTTGATGACGATGTTACTAAAATGCTCACGTAAACAGAGCAAGAGATAAGGACAACAAAATAATAACAAAAAACATCGATCATGTTTGGTTAGCTGTTAATTATCCAAGTTTAGATCATCCTAAATCTGGATGATCTAAACTTGGATAATTAACAGCTAACCAAACATCCCAAAGAAGTGAGGTCAATATTTCTAAAGCATTATGCTTTTAATTCAAAGGTTAAAATCTCTTATTGTTTTCAAAAGAATATTCTCTGCATTTATGATCAAATCATAACAAAGAAAGAATGAAATGGAGGAAAAAAGGAAGATATAATCAAGGCAATTCAGTTGAGTCTTTCCCTCCTTACCATATGCTTCAGGATCCTTCCTTTTTCTGACACATGCTGCATTATATTTCAGTATATAATTTCTTGAAATAGTGAACTCCGGGGCTTGCTGCCCTGAGAGAAAATAGAAAGTGACACGCTATTAGAAAAATACTCAATACGGAAGGTGCTATTTTAAAGAATTTATTTACTCTCCACTATTAAAAGGCTTCCCTTATGTATATAAGGTGACCAAAGAATTTAGTGTCCAAAGTGAGACACTCTTTAATGTGAAAAGGGTACTACTATTAAATACACTGGGACAACAGGCACAAATTGGCACTTTCGAAGGCAAACTATCCAGATGTATGGTTATCTATTTATGTGCCCTAAAACAGAATAAACCGAAACACTGAAATTTAAAAAAGTCCTTATCTTTTAAAAGTATATACTGATATATCTACAAAGGATAAAATTTATCTGGAATTGGCTTTAAAATAAACAGGATGAGGGTGGTGAGGAGCGTTTGGAGATGTAGATGAAATAAGATTAGCCATGAGCTAATGGTTGTTGACACTAAATGATGGGGATACCTGTGGGTTCATTGTCTACTATGCTCTCTGCTTTTACATGTTTAAATTTTTTCCTATTAAAAAATCAAAAACATATTACACAGTCTAAACAAAATGTTTTTTTAAAGTCATTTGAAGACTGACTATATTTAATCTAATATTGCTAGTGCTACCAACTTATATATAAACAGAGCTGGAAAAAGCAGCAAATGTTCTAATGGAAACCAATATTCAACAATGATTCAAAACAATTTATCCCCATCAGGTTCCATTTCTTTTACTGGAATAAAGCAAAAGTGTCATTAATGTGCAATAGCATGAACTTTCTTTTCTAAACAGCTAATTCAATTATTTCAAGCACAAAAGAAAATCCCCAGAATGTCTTCTTCTGTCATTCTCTGGAAAATGACAATGACAGTACTAAGATCTAGAAACGTCACTGAAACATTGATAAGGTGCAATCTCCACAGAGATTTTTACTCCAATACCATGTACAAGTCTCATTATTTCTCAGTTGTCTGCAATAACACTGAATGCCTAACTTGTCAGCCTACCTCCCTCCCCCGACAATGCGTTCAACACGCAGCAACCAGAATTGTCTTCTTAAAACATGAATAAGACCATGCTTCTCCCTCTTTAAATCTTTCAATGGCTTCTCATTGTACTGCCAGGCCCTTCATAACTAGCTCCTGAACACCTAATTTCATTTGCCATCACTGTTCCACCAGCTCACTCAACTTCAGCAACACTCACCTCCATTCAATTCCTCACCACCACCAAGCTACCTACATACTTGCTGTTCTTTAGTCTCAAATGCTCTTCCCCAGACGTTTCTCTTGTTGACTTTCTCATCCTTCAGACCTTAACTTTTTTGATATTCCCAAAGTACCCTTTCTTGTCCCTTGACACTGTGGAGAGACCATTCCATGATATGACTGCTATCTGTCCCACAATCTGGACCCGACCCAGAACAAAGGTTGCTTTTTGCAAACCCCCACTTAGAGACTGTCTGATCGTAACTGATAGTCATTCTCATATGAATCAGCATCCCTCCCTTGCCTCCTGCTATGTCCTGGTGCCTGGAAAAGGTTGTTGTCCTAACCTGGTCAAGCATGTAATTACCAGACCTGGTAGCATTCATGCACCAGTAACCATTATTATTCCCCACTTTTACCCTATATAATTCTTTGGTGCCTGCCAAGGAGCTCAAGGATCCATTTTGTCTTGGTGCTGCCCAAGACATGCCTTGTATGTAAGTTTCCCTTATACTAATTACCAGAGTGGAGTGGCCAGCCTTCTTCCTTTCATCTTTCCCCAACCTCTGCTTACCAAGGTCAATTTCAGTGTCGGCGCTTTTCCCTGGGTCTGTTGTGTACTAATAAATACTTTCTGGCATTGATCTATTGATTTTCTTCATAGAATCTTTCCATTTATTTATTACCTACCTTCCCCATCAAAACCTATTCTTTGAAGGCAGGAACCTTGTCTGTTTGGATCATCACTGTATCACAAGTATCCAGCACAGTGTCTGACACACTGTAAGTACTCTATAAATATCTGTTAAATAAATGAATTACATCACTGATCACTTCCACATTCTAAAAACTCTCAGCTTTTCCTTTGATTTCCCAAGATACCATACTTTCTGGCGTTTCACCTATTTCCCGAACTTATTCTCCTGCTGTGATCTGCTAGCCCCAAGTCTTCCTCCTACCTCATACAGAAAGTGCTCCCTACAGCTTTCAACATCATCTGGTAATGAATCCATTCACTTAAACGGCTTCGAGCCCCAAAGTTACTACTCTCATCACAGCCTTTCTGCTTTGCAGGAGCAGACCAGTGTTTCCAGCTCCCTAAAGGATTCCTCTCCAAGGATATATCAGTTACTTTGTGATTGCAAACGCTTCCTCTTTCCAGGAACTTTCAGTTCTGTCCACGGTACCACATTCTTCCAGTCTTACAAACTAGAAACAATGTGAAATACAAGGAAAGAATATAGACTGCAGAGCTAGCCAGCCCTGGATCAAATCCCACCTTTGAAACCTATTAGATGGTCAATTAAGCATTCTGAGACAATTTCTTCATCAGTAAAAAGATAACAATCATGTTTAGGATTGTTATAAAAAATCAGAGATAGTAAATAAAAAATACCCTACGCACCATCTGATATAAAGTAGGCTATTACATATATATGTGTAAAATATATTTTAAATATAAGTAGTATGACCTATCTCTTGACTTTTGTCACTACTGGCTGATATTTTAGCTTCACCCTGTTTTTTTATGTTCTCAATATTAGCCCTTATTATTATTAATAGAATTCCTGCCTGTTTAGATTCACCCACATAATTACCAATTTCCTTATCAGAATTCTACTCATTTTTGCATTTATTTCCTTCCTTCTTGTTTCCTTTTCCCTGATGTAGTTCCTTCAGTAAGAGTGTTGGTGGTAAACTGTTTTTATGTGAAAACACTTTATTTTATCCCTAAATCTTTTTTTTTTTACATTTTACTTATTTATTTATTTATTTATTTGGTGACATTGGTTAACGAAATCCATTGTTTCAGCTGTACACTTTAACAGTAAGGCATATATATATTTACACTATGTGCTCACCTCTCATAGTTAGATTTCTTTCTGTCACCACGTATTTGACCCCCTTTACCCCATCTTCTTCCTCCCTCCCCCCCTCCCCTCTGGTAACCACTAGTCTATTGTCCACGTCCATGAGTCTCTGTTTGTTTGCCCTGTGTTATCCCTAAATCTTGAATAATGATGCAGCTAGACATAAAATCCTAGGTTTATAATTCTCTTCCACCAATACTGAAGAATACTCTAGGTTTCATCATTGCTGTTGAGAAGTGAGATGTCAACTAATTATTGTACCTTGAGGAGAATCTGACAATTTGGTTGTATCCAAGATCTTTTCATCTTTGGAGTTTAGCATGTGTCTACATGTGGAATTTTGGACGGAGGCAGGGATGCTCAGCACTAACTGAACTTTCTGATTCTTAAGATTCATGTTTTTCACCAATCTAGAAAACTCTCAGCATTACCTCTTTGAATATTGCCTCTCATTCTCTTCTTGAACAACTCTAGATGACTGGATATCTACCTGACCTTCTTTCTCTTCCATTCTCCATGTCTTTAAACTTCTCTTTCGTATTTTTTCTTTGTCCTCTGTGCTACCTTCTGGAAATTTTCTCAGATCTATCCAGTTTAGGAGTCAGGAAATTTTTTCAGTAAAGAGCCAGAAAATAATTATTTAAGCCACATATACTGTCATATACACAGTATATGTAGAATATTTTCTTTTGTCTCTTTTTAAAAACCCTTTAAAATTGTAAAACTATTCTTACTATGCAGGCTGTGCAAAAACAGGCTACAACCCAGATTTACCCCACAAGCCATAGTTTACCAACTCCTGATCTACTTCATAAATCTCCCTTCTGTGTCTAAGCTGCTGTTTATCCTCCCCACTGGCTTTTAATTTCAGTTAAGTCCTATTAGCTTTTTTTTTTAATTGGCCTTATTTTAAGACCACATCTATTCTTTCTCATGTTTTCTATTCTTTCTCTTCATGTGTTTAGTTTTTCAGCTGACATTTACTCATAGAGGAATGGTGGATTGTTTCCTCGCATACTTTATAATTCTGTATTGAGTTCATTTTTAGTAGTGCTTCATTTCTGGGAAAACTGTGTGGTCTACACTGAGGACCTGTCCCTCTACAACAGTTTGTGTTTTCCAGATATCTCTATTAAATCATGCCTTACAGCACTTTTTATGTCAATTCTCAATCTGGAGATTCGCCCAGACTCTATGAGTACTGTAAATTTTAACAATTTGTGATATGAATAAAAACCATATGAAGGGAAACTCATGCTCATGAGTTCTCAGTGGATATTCCTTTCACCAACCAATCCAGGATCCAAGCTAAGAAAGATGCCTCTGCATGCTCACGGGCAGATTTTTTCTAATCCACCTACTCCTTTAGTGAATGTTCAGCCCTCTGAACATTCTCTGGTATGAGTTCTAACACTCACAAGCCCAAGGCTTTTTCTTATCTCTGTGGAAACTAAAATGCAAATTACTAAGACTGGCAAACACCCTTATGGGGCTGTGGCATCAGACTGCTCTTCAGATGCTTTTTCAATCCCCAACCCCACCCCACCCCATCCCCACCCACTTTTTCATTTTAATGAGGATTTAACTTTCTTCCTTGAAAGTACAATGTGCACTTTATACAAGGGGGTTTTTATATTTATCTACTCTGCTATTTTGCCAAAACCAGAGACTTCTTCCAGTCTTTTGTCTATGCATAAATAAACATGCTTACAAAAAGGAGATATCTTATGTTCTTTTTTATAATCTGACTTTTTTCACTCCTAACAAGAACAGTCTAACATGCCACATCATTAGACATTCTACTACATGATCATCAATAGTTAAGTATCATCCCACAATACAGAAAGTCCATATGTTTAACCAATCGCTTTCTGTTAGACATTTGTTTCCAATTGTTCATTATTATAATCAATGTTATAACAACTATTCTTGCAGCT